AAGCTTAATTTTCTTTTGGCTAAAATATCGAGTATCTTTAAATCCTCATATTTTGAAATAGGAAAAAAGTTGATTTTATAAATAAATATAGTAATATTTTTTTAAGATATTTCATTTAATTTTTTTTATTATAATTGCCTTCTTTAGATTCTTTGTTTAATCTTATAATGTTTCAAATTTTTGAAATTCTAATACTTTTTGGTTCATACTTAAAGGTTTGCTATTGTCTATTTCGCTTATTAAAACTAGTTTTTGTTTATTGACTGGAAAAACTGATTGATGTAATACTAAGTAATAATCTGGCATTTCATATAGTAGAGCTTACCTAAAAATATTTGTTTGTTTTCGCATGTTGTTAATCTTGGCAATTTTATCTTATTTTGTCAGTAAAAACTATCTACCAAATGAATTGAAGAATCAATGTAATAATTATTGATTTAAGTTCCAGATTTATTGCTTCCGGAAATTTGGTTGATTTTACGCTTTAATGGGTGATATAGATTTTATTTTTCTTATAGCACGGTTGCCTTTTTGTGTGTGAAAAAAATGACTGAAGAATTAATAAATATTAGCGCAAACCAGCTATTTTCCATTCTATCAATAATGCCTGAATTAGGCAATTTTTCTTATTTTGCTAATAAACTTTTTCTTTATACTGTCTAAACGAATTAAATTATAATTAATAAGGAACATCGATGAAATTTTCGGAATAAATTATTTAAGTTGCTTAAATCATAGATTTGCCAAAATTTTGTTACTAATAGTTTTTTTCCTTTTACTAGCTATTATACTCGTTTAAGTACTCAATTGGTACTAATAAAGCAAGAAATATTGATATAATTTACAATTAGTTCGTAGAACTATACAGTCGCCAAATTTAACGGCGATGATATTAAGTATATAAATCCTGTCTATGCCACTGTTCTGATACACAAGTTGAAGCGATAAAGAAATTGCTCAGAATTATCAAATTATTATGGTAATTATAGATATAAATATCTTAAACATGATATTTAAAGAAGTTCGAATATTATGAAAGAATTAAATAAAAATGTAAATATAAGCCTTCCTGATATTGGAATATCTTTATTTTCTTGATTTGGAACATTTTCTATTTATTTTCAAAAAATCCTAATTTATTTTAATTCCATTTTATTAGAAAAAATGAGTAAAAGTGCTTACAAATTGAGAAGGAGCGTTTAGCGGTGTTTTCATAAAAACGCCTGATTTAAATTGAACTGGTATTATTTTATAAAATGATGAAAACTATTATACGTTTTTTTAATTTTTATATTGTTTAGTTAGACTTGTGAAATCAGCAAAAATAAAAAACTAAAATAACTGAAGATCTAATGATTTATTTCCATAATTTATTCTTCATAAATATTACAATTGTAATCCAATAGAATATTTTGAATTTTTTTTTTGATAATCATAACTTTGCAGTTATTTCTATTTATTAAAATGCGATAAGAAGAAAAAGGAGAGGTCAAAATATTCAAATAAATTAGTTACTATTATATCAGAAAGTTATATCGATGTGCATTATCTAAAAATTATAATTAGGAGGCATTAATTATCAGTAAAATCTTCTATAATTTTTAAAAATAATCTGAGAAAATCAATAAAAAATTCTTAGCTTTCTATATAATTTTTCATCTAGATTGGAAAAAAGGTATATCAGAAAATTTTCTTTAAATGACATAAAGCACATGGGGGGGGGGGGGTTAACTTATTCTGGTAAAAACTTAACCCAAAATGTCCCCTCCATACTTACAACCATGAGTGAGTGAGACCAGAAAGAGTAATGTATTTTGTATCACATCAGTTAAATGTTACATGCTTATTAAATAAACAATACGTAATAAAATATTCTTAAAACATTCGCGTTTATGATTTAAGAAACTTCGGTTGGTAAATTGATATTGAATATATCAATTTCACTTAAAATGAATTCGTAATTTTCGAAGTCATGCGCTCGCTATAATAATTTCGCGCACATACATTCGCGGTAGAAAATTCGCTATAAAGAGTTGGCGATTAAAGTTTTGCTATAAGTTTCGCTAAAATTTATTCGCTCTAAAGTATTCGCGGTTTAGGTTTCGCGGAAATAAATTCGCGATAATGAGTTCGCGATCAAAGTTTCGCTATAAAGTATTCGCGGTTAAAGTTTCGCGGAAATAAATTCGCTATAACGAGTTCGCGATCAAAGTTTCGCTAAAATGTATTCGCTATAAAGTATTCGCGGTTAAGGTTTCGCGGAAATAAATTCGCTATAACGAGTTCGCGATCAAAGTTTCGCTATAATGTATTCGCTATAAAGTATTCGCGGTCAAGGTTTCGCAGAAATAAATTCGCGATATTGTCTTCGCTATAAAAGTTTTGCGGAAAAAAATTCGCGGAATTGGTTTCGCGATATTGCCTTCGCTATAAAATTTCTTCGCGATAAAAGTTTCGCGAAAAAGTGTTTCGCGATAAAAGTTTCGCTGAATTGACCTGATACGGTTTTAATCATCATGGTAAATGATGGATTATCAACTAAGGAAATTGGCTGAACTGTATAAATTATAAAATCAACAATAACTTTATCAGCCAATTTCTGATTTGCATTATTAATTAATTTGGTTTGAATTCAATTAGTCTTTTTGGATGTAGAGTCGCCTATACTAAAATTATTTAGATGTTTCTCCATTTCCTTAAAACTCATGAACAGTCTTATAAAATAAATATTATTAGAATGTAAAAATGACAATTTACCTTTAGGTGTTTCTTGAGGTTATAGCTACTGGATTGATTTGGGGAAATATTTTTTTTTTACATTTTAAACAAATAAATTTGAAACCAGTTTTGGTTATACATTTATTTAAAAAAAATTTCAAATGTAGGGAATGGGAAATTTGTATTATAGCTATTAATAACATTTTCTTCCCTTGGTATCTTCCATTTCATTAATATCATCGTTTGAATCACTTTCAACGATTTGGATATCCATAGGCAATGACATTTTAAATTATTAACACGTGATTTAGGTTTATAATACAAATGAAAATATAAATTACAAATTGAAATAATATTTTAATTTCAAAATTAAATATAAATTATAATTAATTATGATATTATATTTATTTTCATGTTTATATTTACCTTCATTATTTTAAAAGTAGCGAAGTAGCGGCTAATTAGCTACTTTCAAAAAAAGTAGAGCGCTAAAAAATTAAATAATTACAAAAAAGTAGCCGCTATTAGGTATAGCTAACAAAAAAGTAAGCGCGCTACTTTAACAACTCTGGTAATCAGAAATTTCCCAATTATTATTTGATAATGGATGAATCAGAAATTAACCTATTTTATGAGGTATGAATAAGAAATTTATCTATGCTTTGATGAATGTTTATTTTAATTTTTTTATGTTAATAAAGTATATATTTATAGACTTTCAATACAAATAATTGGAACATATGTGAATCAGTAATTGGCAAAAAACAAAATAGAAATTAGTTAAGGCCCAGTCGTTTGGTGGCCAATTTCTTTACTAAATTTGTCTAGCCTAGTTCAAAATATAGGTTGTTGAACCAAAATAAATAACTGTTTATAATCTTGGGGAGTGATTAAATTAGAAACAGTATATTTTACTCATCAAATAGAAAAAAACATTTATATGACCTGACCAATTCACTTTTTTGTCAAAAATGGCCCAAAGATTCTCAATGTTAGGGCTTGGTCCTGGTATTGCAGACATGAGAATATATATAATATCTAAGAATGTCCTTATGTGCACAATAAAAAATTATTTTTAAATGTATTTTAATACATTTGTAATTTGTAACTAGAAATTTATCCTGCTAGATGAGAATTTTGTAGGCAATAATAAATATTAGGTATACAAAACACTGGCAAGATTATATTTAGGTCTTAAATTATAAATACAAATGTATAAAATTATAGTAATATTATATATTTTCTTTTGCATATAGTTTTGAGGCTATAAGTTAATATAATAGAAAATTTACATATTACTTTCTTTTTATTAAATAATAATAACTAAATTGATTGTATATATGAAAAATACTACACGAAAAACCATTTTTTGAATCATCATGCTTTCTTTTTTATATGATTATTTGTTTTACTAAATAAGTCGTTGTTTAAATTCTTATACGAAGCTAAATCCCTAATTTAAATTACAACAAAAATATTTTTTATAAGGGTAAAATTTTGATTTACCCTAGTAATAAAATAAAATAAAGAATACACTATCTACCAGTCACAGCTTTATCGGGTACTATAACATTCTTCAGGCCAAAGGTATTCATATTCTCAACGAATATTTATAGGCATGGTATTTGTATCAAATACATTTTTTTGAAAATTTGCTCAACCCTGGATACAATTATATTTATGGTATGTATAATTTTTGTTCAATTTAATTTGTATTTATCCTAACTAATGGATCTTTTTCCTTTTGAATTATATTATTAGAAATAAGATTTATGTTTGGATCAAATAAAACTTTCACAACTTAGGTTTCATCGTACAAAAAAAATAAAAGTGAACGCTTTATCAGATCCTTTTAAGAGCCTTACATGAGCCAATCCTATCAGCCGGACCGCAGAATTCGCACAGGCATTTTCTTTACTCGGTGGGATTCGAGCCTTGATTTTAAAATTTATACTGGACAACAAAATTCTAAATTACATCGTTTTCATAATGATTTTCAACAAAAATTTTCCGATTTTGAAATAAGATTTTTTCAAATCTAAAAAAAATTGGAAATTTAGGATCAGGCTCGAATCTTTGAAAAAAATTATCGGATCGTATTAATCAGATAAAAAAAAATTTCGGATCGGCTCGGACCTGAAAATGGGTCTTTATAATTTATATTAAAATGAATCTTTCTAGCCTGATTATTTTTTTTTATAAAATTTTGTCACAATTTATTTGGAGAACTATTATGACGTTAGATTGTATATAAATTACTACATAATATCGATATTATTAAATTGACATAAAAAGATTATAAGTAATCATAAATAATCATAATATTTCAGTATAAATTGGTGTTTTAAGACCTATAAGGTTATGAATACTTTCAGCGTTCACCAAATCTTTAGGTTTAGCGTTCATAGCTAATTTTACTAAATTGTCTCTAGCCTAAATATAAATAAATTTAAGTTTAATAAAATATATTATATATTACACAATAATAGATATTAATTCAAGTAAAGAACTATCCACAAAGTTATGTTGATAAAAATTAATGTTGTTAAGGTAACTAGTTACAAAGTATTGCAACTACTTTTTGAAAATATTTAAATAGTAACTCACAGTTACATTTTTGGAATATGGCGACAAATGTAATTAGTTACTGTTACTTTTTATCATCTTTATATATGATGATTTCCCAACATTTGTTTATTTTAGGGAATTTAATTTTGGAGAAATATTTGTACCCTTCATAGAGACTAATTTAAAAAAAGCTTATTGTTTATTAAAGTCAAATAAAAATTTGGATTAAACAAAATTTTTCGTAAAAATAAATATTATCTTATGATATTTTTTCTAGTAGGAATAAATATTATAATATTATCTCTTTTCGGAAATAAATATGATATATCTTTTTCCAGGGCAATAAATCGTATAAATAATTTATAATGCTACTTGCAATATAACTGGTCACTTCTAAAATAAAACTGAAACTAGTAATAAAATTTAGTTACCCTTTTAATAATATACCTAGTATAAAGTTTCTTTTACAAATTTAACTTGTAACTAGTTACTTTTGGAAAGCAACCTTTAAACAATACTAATAAAATCGAATTTTTAATAACTTTTTTAAAAAAATATTTCAAATAAATAGCGAATTTATAATACCCGAGAAGCTAAATTTATTTCTCTATCTGTAGGAGGAGGCGCCAAACTTAAATGCTTAATCGGTAAGGAAAGTCTACTCTTCTGCGCTTGGTTTAAATCAACTATAGCTTTAGAAGCTAATTTAAATTTCTCTATCAATTCATCCGGTAAGTCACTATAATTGTAGTAAGTTATGAATAATTGTGAACAATTAATGTATAATAATTTAAACCACGAGAAAAATGTAATGAATGCTATAGTATACAAAAAGAATCAAAATAATCCTGATACACCATTGAAATATAAAATAACTCATAACATAATAGATAATGCCTGGGGATAGACTTAAACCTCCGGAAAAAAATATCCTTTTAGTATTTTTTAAAATGGTCGAAGAAGTGTTTCATTCAAAATTGTTATTCTAATTTTGTAAGTTCCTTAAATAAGATCCATATGGTCAAAATTTGACGAAATTCCTCACTTAAATTTTTTTTTTATATATCTAAGGTTTCGCAAATTTTTTTTGAAGCAACCATTAATTAAAGGCCATAATCTTCTTCTTCTTTAAACATTCTCAAATATATCTAAAAAATATTTGATTTATATAATTTGATTGATTCGTCAACAATAATTTTTATTTTCAAGATTTATTTTAATTCTTTTTTTTTGTAAATAATCAAATTATTCATGAAACTATCTTATTTTGTGAACCGAAGTTCCGGCTAACCCTAAATCTCATTTAAAAAATTTTTAATTATCGATATTAAATTGATTATTCGTTTCGAAATTAATATTTATTCAAAGCTTAGGTACAATAACATATAAAACAAACACTTTGGCGAACATGAATCCAAAATAATTAACTAGTTTCAAAATTTAATCAGAAGAACTCATGTACAGATGCAATATTATATCAAATTAAATTTTGATAAATATTAAATAATTAAAATGTTTAAACGAAATAATAATTTTATCTTTTTTATTAAAAAAAGGAAAAGAAATATACCTATAAAATTTTTGGCTCTCTTTATCTAGCTCAGCGTTATTCCTAGAATGTTCCAACTTCTCTAAGATATCATTTATGGCTTGAGAATTCTTTCCATGGGCCCCTTGAGTCAATGAATCCAGTAAATCGTCCACGTAATTTTGAATAGAAGGCAGGCGAGAAAAAGTTTTAAGACTGAGAGCATATTCAGAATCGAGAGATAAAATACTAGTATCAAGTGTGGCCGGGGTTGTTATTTCTAATCAATAGGATGATAAGGTAAGAGTATACATATGCAAAAGTAGTATAAATTCATTATAGTAAGTATTCGACGGAGTGAAAACATTCCATTCATTATATTAAAATTCATATAATGACAAGTTTTTAAATAGATGGTAATATATCACAAAATGAAAAAATTTCATAAGCGTTCCATATTCAGATAATTTTATTTCTGACTTTCTCGATGAGCTAAATGCAATTTAGTTGAATTATTTTTTTTAACACAATTACAATTTAGAAAAAACATGACAAAACTTCGTATTATATTGAAGAGAAGAGAAAAAAACAAGGAATGCAAACCATTGGAGGTGTCATCGATTCTAGAATTGTATATGCTATCGAGTAAATCGGTTTCTTCTTTTGTTATGTTAGCATCTGTGGAGTCCCAAAATGGCGCGTATGAGGAAAAGGGGTTGTAATTGCTATTTAGACAACCATACTTTTCTAGGTATTGAACTGTTATTTTTAATTTTTATGAAAACATTATTATAGAACAGTTAATCAGCTCAATGTTCTTTTTTTTTAATTATTCAGAAAAGCATTTTTTTTAAAAAAGTATTTCTTCCTTTTTAAATGAAGGGATTATTCGGAATTATGTCTCAACATTTGCATTGTGATATATAAGAATATGTTACTAAATAATTTATTTATTCAAAGAATTTTGCAAAAAATTAAATATAGAACGCTACTTTTCTAAAAATCACAAAGATCCGAAGACTTTTTTACAAGAAAAAAATTGGAATTGTGAGCGAAATTCGAAAGGGACCTTATCTTTACTCATAATTTTTTCAGATCCACAAATAAGATTTTTTGTAGGGCTGTTCCGAGTAATTTGGTTCTGGCCAAAATCGAGAGTTAGGCGTTTTTAAAAATTGGCTAAATCAAGTGGTTTAACAACACTAGTTGAATGTGATTCGTAAGATATTTTAAAATCTTTTTCTTACTGTAAACAATTTAACAAAAAATGATGTAAAGTTTTTACCTAATTTTTAAACATTACAACAAATAAATTGTATTTTAGTTCCTTTCATTAATTTATTATTATATTTATAAAATAAAAAAAATTATATATACATACAAACATAAAATATATCAAAATAATAAAAAAATATCAGATCGGTTATTTAAATATCGGCCCGATCCGATATTTTTTGAAAACGTAAAATATTGGTGCCGATCCGATATAAAAATCGGCACCGTCCTAATAATTACAGCTGAAAAAAATTCGTTCCGATATTGTCATTGTTTTCGGTTACTTTATGATTATATATGTAATAATTATATCATATTTTTTTAACCTATTTTCTAGTGTTGTTAAACCATCTAACTTTAGCCGGCTCTAAAAAGCTTAGCCAAGTTTTTAGTCTGAAAAAATAGTCTCCATCATTAAGTTTATGTTTTTAGGAGATAATCTTGACCATGCCATATTGGAGTTGGTCAAAGTTAGGTGATTTAACATCACTACTAATTTCCTAATAATAAAAAATGAATAAAATAAACAAGAATTTAATTTATTTCTAACTATAATATTTTTTAAAAAATCGAATTATAAAGAATAAAAAATTGATAAAAGATATATTTATTTTTGCAATAAAAAAAGAATTTTAAGATATTAAACGAGTCACAATCAACCATAAACATTCTATATGATTAAAGATAGTCTTGCTGGTAAACGGGAAATGGCTCCTAAAGAAGGTAAATGTAGCATTGAAGGATTTCACAAAACAAGGGGCAGTGAACTTCATGTGGATTAAAAAACGACAGTAGCCTTAGTTTTGGCAACAACTTATGCTATTTTATTATCAGGATTCTATGTAAACATTGCCCATATTTTAAATAAAACGATAAGATAATTAACTTCTGGGCAAAAAATACACTTGATCATTCGTGATGATGTACCAAATATCGCCTTGGCCATGAGAAATATAAAATTTAAGTGTTTTTTGTTTTGCTAATAGATTATATAGATATAGGTATTTTTTTATAAAAAAAAATACTAATTTTTTTTGTTATTGGTTTAAAGATAGATGGTGCATAAAAATCAAATTGGGATATTAGCCTACCCTTTTAAATATTAAAAAAAAAATTAATTCCCCGATTCAAGGAATATCAATAAAATATATATATTTAATAATAGAATTTAACCCTTTACCACATGATGTTTTAGAAAAAATTCTCAGGTATTCCCTTTGACATATTAATTGATAATTGATCAAAAAAAAATTTTCAAACAATTTATTGTATTTTATATATTGGTATGAAATAAAATAAAACAATTTTTATTTGCATGAAAACATAGTGCGCATTGGCATTTCAGCATTTTACATGTGTAACCCCTTTACACAGTGGATTTTTGCATCTTTGACGATTATTCATCCACTCTGGGATATGTCCAATTTGATCCGTGCGAATATCTGTGGACGGTACGAAAGAAGTAGGCCCCCTTCTTTTTTTTATCTAAGTAATGCACTAATAAATAAATAATCACCTTCTATTAGATTTTCGACCATAGAAGAAGAACGTCCGCGTTTCAATTCTATTGAAGCTTCAACTTGACACATTGTTGTGGCTACTTCTTGACGAAATTCCGATAAAGAAAAAACAGAATTGTCATCTGATTTGGCTTTCTCGCCTTGAATTCGCCGATATAATAACCAGGAATTAACAACTGCTATATCAATAAGGTGTTGGAAGACCCTATATACCACTTTTTGGATCTGGTTGTATTGTGGTATCTTCCAATATTGCTGTCTAACAAATCAACCCCTCCCATATGCTTGTTATATTGCTTGAGAACCATGGGACAAGCTATATTTAGCCTTTTCTTTGTTTTGCGGTCATATCGTTCAATATCACTCTGGGGTAATTTCCCATACAATGTTGACAAAAAAGTTACTGTTTTATTATCTTTCCATACTAAGGAAGTTATATCTACCCCTTCAATATTTGCCATTTCAAAGAATGACCCTCTTGGAACCAGTTTCGAGGGCACAATCATAACAGGTTTGATATAAATGAATATCGTAAAAACAAAGAAAAATATAAATGAACAATAGATAATCGAATGTCGTATAAACAAAGAAAAATATAAATAAACAATAGATAATCGAAAGTCGTATAAATAAAGAAAAATATAAATGAACAATAGATTAGAGATCTGCAAAGTTAGGCCTGGCCAGTACCCGGCCCGGCTTGGGCCTAATTCTATTAAAATAATCGGGTTCGGGTTGAGCCGGGCCTAATATTTTAAAAAAAATTCGGGTTCGAGCCGGCAAAACTTTTTTAAAAAAATTTCGGGCCGGGTCGAGCTTGAAAAATTAGGCCCGATGCAGATCACTACAATAGATAATCGAATGTCGTATAAACAAAGAAAATTATAACGGACAATGGAATCGTAATATATTAATCGCTTATTAAAAAAATAGCATCATAAAATAATGGCTTTTATAAAACATTGTTTTTGTGAAAATAAAAATTTAGAACAAGAAATCATATTTGAGTCTTATTAGTAACATACATATATATTCGATTAAAAAATTTTTAATTAAACTTTTTTAAAATATAAAAACGGAAAAGAATATAGGAATATTTTAGTTACCTGGTTCATATTTTTTTGAAAAATAATATCAGAGTTTAATATTAAAAAAATGTAATTAAAAATTACGAAAAATGTCAATTTTGAAATATAGGGAACAGCGGACATTAAATACTCACTCTTTAAATAAATATAAGAATTTCTAATTAAAAAAATGATTTTTATATAAAAGGAATGTTACTAATCAGTCACATAGTGAATTTTCGCATCAAAATAATTTACTCTGTAAAATATGTCAGAAAATTCACTATGTGACTGATTAGTAGTCATATGTAATAAAGGGACTATATTTGTGAAATATGAATCGAATGATTAATAATTCGTTATAGGTCCTATTGTATTATATAATATTACTAATTACAAACTATTATAATATCGTTAAGTGTCAGATAGGATCGCGGTGAAAATTATATTGATTGGCACAATCCTAATCCTTTTTTGCATATTTATTCAATAGAACTATTCCAAATTATTTTTAATATTCCAAAATAATTCGCATTCGAAAATTATTAAATATATTTTCAACGAAACTTTTTATTTTTACTCTATCATTTAAAAAAAATTAAATAATAAATTGTTTCGTTTTCGGAAAACATTTTTTTATTTTAAATTTTCATTTTGTATAGAACAAAATAATAACTTTATTATTCAATAAGGCTACTAATTATTTGATTAAAAATTTGGATCGGATATGATTAGTGTTGTTGAATGGATCGATTTGAGCCAATTTTTAAAAACGGCTAATCGATATCTTAGCCTGAAAAAAAAATCGCTTACGCTTCGAGATTTCGCTAATAGCGCTTCAAACCTTTCTGCAACTAGGAGCAAATTCTTCAGGCTTGGGTAAGATTTTTTTTGATAAAATATTGAGTAACTGTTTTTAAAAATCGGCTCATATTGAGCCGTTTAACAATACTACATCTACGTACTACTACATCTACGTACGATAATAAAATTATTTAATCCGTATTTTTGTAAGCCTACCCTACAATAAGGTATATAGCCCATTTTTTTAACTTCGGAAAAATAATCAGTAAAAAAACTAGCCCTAAATGTATAAAACTGAAAAAGGGTAAATTATTCAACCGCAGAGATCTTATTAATATATAGATTTGAATTTTAAAAAGCAAGGGAAAGAACTCTAAGAACCTTCACAAAGCGTGTACATAATAAAGTAAAGAAATAGCGATTAAAATAACCACGTAATTTGATAAATCAATTTAAATCATATTCTCATTTAAGCCAAACCGGCGTTAATTTTTTGGTGATTTCCGTATAAATACATATTATCTTCTTTGGAGACTGAGTCGGTTCCAACCATAAGAGGAACTCCGTTCAAATTTGTGAGTTTTAAATTTTCTTTGAACGGATTTTGTAAGGAGTTATCATCGAAATCCGAGATATAAGGTCCTGATGGGATGAAGGATAGAGAAGTGTGACCTGTGTGGTCGGTGCGTAAAAATCCCAGCTTTAATTATTATTATATTTAAGGAAAATATGTGTTGTGAATATTCGATATAATTTAGTGAGAGAAATGGTAAATGTTTAATTTTTTGTTTCTATTTCGTAAAATTTATAATGAATAAAAGTGTCAAATTCAGTGATATAAGATAAAAAGTGGTATTCAAGCATATAGAGATAAAGTAATATATAAATTAAAAATTAAGTGTATGGGTAAAAATTTTTTTAACCATTAATTGTAACTCTATAAAACAAGAAATTACATAATACCTTATGCATATTTGTGATTTATGGAGGGATAAAAATACATTATTACTAAAAATTATATTTTTTTTTGAAAACAAGAAGTGACAATTATTGTTAAACCTAAACTAATTAAATCAACTAGACGCTTTTGGGAGTAATTCTTCCGTCGTCAAATAATTGACTAAACAATGTGAATGAAAACAATAATTTACTTTGCCATACGGATTGATAGCCTCCAATTTTTTCCTAGCATCTTCAGATGCCTTATTTGCATCGGCTAAAATTTGCTCCGGGCTCAGCTCGGAATCATTGCATAAGTGTTCTTCATCCACGATTTCCCGTTCTTCTACTATAACTTGATCGCCTATTGCGTGCATAATATCAATGTCCTGTATCATCGTGGTGACAAACTCGGCCTGGTCGAAATTGGGATGAGAGGTGGTGAGGTTTTGGCCAGTCTCGTTGAAGTGACTTTGATTGATACGTCTGTTCCTTAACCTGCCTTCCCTTTTAAGTAGTCTTTGTTTCCTTTTACGTTCGATCATATTCTTATTTCATTTTTTTTCCAGCAAAATAATTAAAAGAAAACTAAATAGAATGATAAGGCTATCTCCAAAAGTCTAATTTTTCTTTCTCTCAAAGGTTAATTTTTTTATAATTTTAAACGAAATGGTATGTTAATTTTTTTAAAATTTTCTAGAAATATGTTTAGTACATATTTATATTTCTCTATTTTTATAAAATGAAAAATTATATATATAATTTCATTAATGTTTTCGAAATTCGATTTAAAAAAACCGAAGTTCTAAACATTTTTAAATATGAGAACTTTTAAAATATAACTAACACACTTTGAGTTAATTAACGCCATAGAATATGTTAAAATTCGTTCGAATATAATTACAAAATGATTCTCTATCATTTTTTTGACCTTTTTGAAAATGAGTATAAAAAGTCCAAAAAAGTTGTATTTCTAGAAAGAAACAATTTATTTGTCAATGTTTTGGATTATCTAACAAGATCCCTTCTCGAGAGAGAAATTATGGGGAGACTAAAGCTAAAATTCCATGGAGCTATAAAATATTATAGTATTAGTACATATATATTATTATTAACTTATATAATCACAAACGCCAAAAGCTATTTTTGAATGGATGTACCAAATAATACCGAATTAGCGTTTTAAAAACAAAAGCCAGGACGCATAAATATTAAACTATTGCAGTTTTAACCAGGTTCACCGAAACTCAACATTGGCATTGACCGATATCATAAGCCAATAATTAATATATATTTTTTGATTTCCAATTTTATCAAATTTTTAAAGGCTCGTTAATTATTAGATAAAATTTTGTACTGAAAAAAATTATATTTTACTTGCAAAATAATATTAAATTTTTTTAAAATAATTTATCGTAAAAATTGTTAGTTTCTTTAAGGCCATTTTTATTTTTTATAATTAAAAAATTACCCCTCATTCACGTTAGCGTGGCGAAGTATGGGCCATGCTTCCCCGCTTTTCTTAATATACATAATTTATTATAAGAAAAGATAATAAGAAATCTTAATATGTCTAAAAAAAATATTTTTTTGACGGATTTAAATATTCCATATTTTTTTCATATTAGTCCCAATAACGGGCAGTATCAGTACATCTTCTGGGCTTAAACTAATTTAATTTCAATTATTTATATTACGTTTTTTTTAAAAAAAATCGTATTTAGTATCTTTTTTTTAAAAACACTTTATACTAAAGGTAAAATGCTATATAATAAAGTTATGTTATTTTAGCCAAGCTAGGTAAAAGTCTTTAAAATACCTTTAAATTAATATTTTTGAAAGTATTTTTTTTTATAAAACACTTCTTCTTCTGGTAGCTAGGAAAGGCTGGGTAAGCACGATATCACAAGCACGATATCACTCTTCATGTGGAGAGCAATATTGGGCTATTTTCGAGTTTACTATAATTTCAGAGAAGACATTTATTGACCTTCTTAAAATGGTCAAATCTTTTCTTTTTAGAAGTGAAATTTAGCGTATTAGCGGTAAATGTACACCAAATGCACATTGTGGATGTTTTTAACCGGATTGTATTTATTTTAAATATTTTATCCAAACCGGTAGATCTAAACCTATCCCAATTACTTTAATTAATAAAAACAATATAAAAATGTAGATAACTTAAATGCAAAGTTAAAAATTAACTTTTTCTAAATGTATTTTAATTTACATCTTTGTCATATTGCCGTATGTGACTCACATCCGTTTCCTTTTGTTCATGAAATGCTGCATTGGAATCGTCATCTCCCGATAATCTACCCTGTATATTATCATTAAAGTCGGTTTCATCAGTTAGATTAGATCCAGATTTAATGGATACTAGGGCGTTCAAATCAAAACCCAATTGTGAATAGTTTAATTTATCTATGCAACTGTAGTTGAGTCTGTATCCCACAAATTTATCCTTGATAGTTTTAAAAAACGAATTGAATTTACTACCATTTCTGTATTATAATAATGTTTAGGTGCCCCTAGTTCATTTCTTTCAATATTGCATGCATTTAAAAGACGAATTAAAGCTAGGTAAGTTAGAAGGGGTTTAATAAAATTAAAGGTATTCAATATATAGCATAAATTGTAATTTTTCTAGTTCCTCAATAACGAAAAACGAGGTATAAATATATTATAATAATAAGAAAAAAATATTGAAGAGTTCATTTAATATAATGACTAATTTTTATTAAGAAGTCAAATTTTTATGTCAAATATCTACCAAATCAAATAATAATATTGAACAGTTCATATATAATCTTAAAAACACTAAAATCAAAATTTACTTTTGCAAGATATTTGTATGAGGCTGCCAGCAATTTCTTGGCAGCTTTGTGATATATAGTATCAGGAGAATTATATGTCAAGGCATTGTTACACATTAATTTAACATCTTTCTGATATTATAAAAAATAAGGGGTAAATACACTTAGCAAATAAAAATAACAAAATGTCTAAAAAATTGAAAATAATTGACTACAAGATGAAATAAAATATTAATATTATTTTGCTCATAATTTTTTCCCTTAATTTCTCAGAATACTGAATTTCACAGACATTTTGCTTAAAATCAAGATGATTTTCTGAGCATTTCATATATTTTAAAATAATTCATTTTTTAATCGCAGTGCCTCTGTTTTATACCCAAGCAATTGGTATTTTTTCTGAACAGTTATATTTTTTTATATGTGCATTGAGAAGTAGTTCAGATAATTCAATATTTTTTCTAAGTTTTAGAATGCATTCATAGTGGGATCTGACTCAGAATGATTTAACAGCTGGTCAATTTCAAAAATCTGTAGTATGAGATTAATTTTTTTAATATTTTTAGATTATATGACCTTATTTGAATTCCCTGATTAATCTAATTCCTAACATTTCTATGGTGTGATTTGGATCTATCTCTGCCCATGGAGAAGGCATAATGACTATTTTACTTAAGTTAATCGTGATCCAGATTTCTCCAATAAATCTAGGAAGCTAGAGGCTTCTTTCATGGATTTAGTAATAATTACTATGCCACCAGATAGGAAATTATGTGGTGTTTCAAGTGGTGGTTATTACAACAAGATAAGCTTAATAAATTAAAAGCTCCAAGCGTATCCACAATAATTTTATACATGACTTTATTGAATAGAATTGGTGACAAGACATTTTTAACAAAATTTGGGTTTCAGACATTACCTCAAAAGATTGGAATTTATCTTCTAGTTGTAATTTTCCAAAGATTCCATACCTATCTACTTTCGATGACTATAGAGCTATTGTGCTCACCTCCATTGCATCAAAAGTTTTCATGGTAATCATAAAAAAATGAATACTAATGTCTACAAGTCATCTGCTATCCAACAATATATGTGCATATATACCTGACAGGAACATCTTGCAGCCTATTTTAGCTTTAAAAATTACCCTTCAGATATAAAATACCTTTATTATTATTTATTTTTGTAGATTTTAAGAAGGAATTTGACTGTATTAAACATGAAGTTGTGTGGAAAATCTTAACGGACAGTGGTGTGGACTCAAATATTATAAAAATTTTTAATAATCTTTTTGCCTCGCTAATGACTACTTTTAAAGTGGAGAATGTTCAATCTCTTTCCTTTATGATAAGGAGTTAAGCAAGGGTGTGACCTGTCACCTATTCTATTCAATATAGTCATGAATAATATTATTGCGGATAAGCTTGGAGCTTTTAATTTATTAAGCTTATCCTACTGTGATAACTTCAACTTGAAACACCGCATAATTTCCTATGTTAATGACATAGTAGTAATTACTAAATCCATAGCCTCTTACATCCTAGATATACTCAAATCATACAGTAGATAAATCTGGTTAACAATTAATTTAAGTAAAACAGTCATTATGCCTTCTCCATGGGCAGAGATAGATTCTAATCACACCAGAAATTTTAGGAATTAGATTGGTCAAGGAATTCTAATACCTTGGGGTAAGTCTTGATAATAAAGGTCATATAAAAAATGAGGTAGAAATGAGATTAAAGCATGCAAATTCATGTTGTACAAATATCTCAAATTATGGATGACTAGAGAAATATATGTAAAAAGAGTTGGCTTCCAATATATAAGAACAAAAGATATTGTAACTACAAACTTACTGGCTAAACAAAACCATATCAGACATTCTAAACATGAATATAAGCCTCTCAGTTTACTCATTTAAATAATAACAAAAGATCCATTTAAAATAAAAACCAATTACCTTATAAACCATTAATTTCCACTTAAATAAATAGTCCATCCATTTGGGGTTCAGTCATTCCTTTTCTCCTCTTCTATTATTTTATGTTAAATTTCAGAGTTTACAACATATCCTTTGCATACATAACCCTAACTTTTTACACTCATCTATGGTTATTCAATTTTATTTTGCTCTATGTAAGTTTTTGAAATCTTATTTGAATATTATCGAAATATTATGTTATTGTATTCATTCATAAGCCAAGTCCTCTGTTATATATCTCTGATATATATATGACCTTTTAGGGCTAATGCACTTAATATCAGGTAAGGAAAAAAAATTGAAAAAAAAATTAATATATAATTTACATGAAACAATCCTATTGTTTCATATTCATTGTTTTCTATTTTATTTCTAATTGTACTAAAATCCATGGGTTGTTGAATTATAGAAGAGTAGCCAGGTGCTATCAGATCATTAACTGGGTATGCAAAAAACCCATTAGGATCTTTTCTTTATATTAAATTATAAGTGATGTTATATAAAATTACTTTTCCAAAATGTTAATTAACATAAACAAACATTGCTGGATAGGTAAATCTTTTTTAGTGTTTTTAACACATGTTCTTTTCTTATCGATTTCATTTAATTCTGTGCTTTCATTTGTATTTGTAGTGACATCACATGTATTAGATAAAAAATGATTTTTATTTTCATTTAACAAAGAAGTGGATGATGATGATTGCCATGAATCCACTGAATCAATATTTTCAATTTCTTCATCATAAGATTGTATTTTTATTTTTTTCTGTATAAATATTAAAGTATTCAAATATATCTTAATTTTAAAAATACTTCTCTCATATTTTTAAATAAACTCTTGTGCTTTCTTTTTTCATTTAAAAAAGTAGGATTATAATCTGAACTATTACTAATTGATGACATTTTGTATAAGGATTCTCTCTGTGATCGTGGAATTTCCATTGATTTTATATCTTTCCCAACTTTTAAAATCAATTTAAGTGGTCTATTTTCTATAGTAATATTTAAATAATTGTATAAATAACTTAATTTACCCATTCCCAAATTTTTTATTTTAATATTTGAATCACCTATTTTGCTAAAATCAAAGAATGACATAACCAGTCAATATGTGGCAGGTATAGATAAGATTATGTGACAGGTTAGGTTAATGATTACTACCAAGTGAATGTATGGAAATATTCTAAATTCCAACCTAATTTGCTAAATACCGACCATAATTTATTAAAATGTAATAAGATCCTTATTATTTAATATATTAATACGGAATCACGTGGTCGAGTCCAGCCTCCTATATATTATCCCCCCCCCCCCCCCAAGGATGGAATCACCAAGTTAGAATAAGAAAAAAAACATGATCATTCACGGGATTCGAACCCGGGATCATGGGATAAGTAAACCAAGCTTTTGCCTACTAGGCCATATAGGCTTTCCAAAAAACACGATTTTTCAAATATATATTATAAATATATTTGGTAGTGCCTATCCAAATGAAAAATGAACAAAATTCAAATTTGATAGATGGTACCTTAAGGTACCAAGCATCATTAACCGACAGGTTACCAGTGTTGTTAAAATAGCGCGCTACTTTTTTCAGTAGTGGTAGCTTTAGCAGGCTATTTTTTTTTTAGAAAATAGCGATAGCGCTAGCTCGCTACTAATTTACAATTTTACATAATAAATACATCTAAAAATTATTAAAATATATTTTTTATTATATCTAAAATTATAATCCTTTCATTAAATTTAATTTTGAAATTTAAATTTATATTTAAAAATATACATTATAAATCTAGTTAGCATTATAAATTTAGTTATTAAAAATGTGTGAGATTGTTGAAGATAGCGAAATTTCTTTGGAAAATGAAAAAAATATAGATTATCCTTTCTCAAAATTCAAAAAATACTTTAATCTTGAAGAAAAAATTACTACTGGATATCAGTTTCGATGCAAGATGTGTCGCAAAATTTTATCCTCAAATCATACAAGCAGCTTTAATTTGAAAAAAAAACATTTAAAGGTAATATATTAAACAAATTTAATATCCATGTGTCGTCTAATCCTTTATTTTTAAATAAATTTAAAACAAAAACCAATCATTTTTTTTATTTATTCATAAATTTTATTTAAATTATTTAAAACAATTTTAAATAGTTATTTCAATCATTATTATGTACTTATCTCCTACATAATTTTTATTCTAAGTATTACTGTTATAATTTTAGACTGTTCACACCTCAAATTATAAAGAGATTGAAAAATATCTCAAAAGTTTTGGGGTAATGGAAGAAGATACACCCACTTCTAAATCAAATTTAATTCAAACAAAAATAAGCAATTTGGATTCATCAACACCAGGTATATCTCAAAAATTGGCTGACAAAGTCATAATGAACTTTATAATAGATACTGTTCAACCATTATCATTGGTGGATAATGATTCTTTTATAAAGATGATAAACACTTTTTCTCCATGTACCAAGATATTTTGCCGGCAGACATTGATGGCAATAATTTTGGATAGTTTTAAAGAAATGAAAGAATCTTTAATCTTAAATCATCAGATGTCTCCTACATCTGTACAACAGCCGATTGCTGGATGCACAGCGTCTACATGACAGCATATTCACTGGATGCAAACCCCCCCTCAAAAATATATATATACCCCCCTAAAAATTCCCGCCGCCTTCGGCGGCGTTATTATTACATAATAATTAATTTATGCTTAAATAAAAGGCTACTAGTTTTATTAAATGATTGCTTTCAGGTTTATACCGTTTGAAGAGTCCTGCTTATATATTTTTTATTAATAACTTACCTTCGCATTTTATTATTTTCCTCTTTCACTAAACTCTTCTTAAATTTTCAAAATCAACACAAGAAAACAATAAAATGATCGGAATAGTTTCGAAGAAAAATAGAATAATGATTTATTTTGTTTTTTTTCTCTTATATTAACTATAAAATAAATATTTATAATATAATTATGTTTTTTTTAACAAAATGTTTGCGCAAAATAATCACCAAAAATATTTATCATCAAAAATGAATGACTTCGCAATTTAATTACAAAAAAAACAAAGACATATATAACATTGCAATATATTATTTATTATATACTAGTATCAATACTTGAAATAGTATCATATCGAAAATAGGGAATTATTATAAAGAATAATTATTATAAAAATGATCGAAATTTAAAAAAAATATATTATATTTGTAACAATACTTTTTAATGTTGAATATATTTAAAATAATATGATGAATATAAATAAATGTGGAGCAAAAGGCTACCTAAAAATGACTAATTATAAAGGGACTAGTAAATTAAAGTTTTAAAATAGTTCTAATTTTATAAATTTATTTAAATATTAAAAAAAAGGAAATTATAATGACAAATTCATAAATTTATTGCTGTTTAATCTAAATATATGGACTATGTGATTAAAAGACTAGATAGTCTTTTAGAAGTCAGTGCAAAATCTGTAATAATATCCTCTGTATTAAATGTATCTAAAATATCAATTTCACTAGATATTAATAATAAATTTTCTAAAAAGCTATCAGAAATTTTATTTCTTATGCGAGTTTTAACTATTTTAACTTTACTCATAGCTCTTTCAGCAGAGCATGAGGTAGTTGGTAGAGTTATCAAATATTTATATAATCTTTTTAAACATGGAAAAGAATTTAATTTAGCTAATAATCTATATGGTAATATAAACGAATATTTTAGCCATTTTTTTATATTGTTGGTTTTATTATCATTTATGTTTTCATCTGTAAACATATATTAAAATTATGTTGTTATTAAAATTAATTACTTTCGTTCTATAAGGTATCATTTTATTCATGAGATCTTTACTATAAATAATTGATGAGGAATCTAAATATAAAAGTCGGTAATTGAAATATTTATCCACTATTTTCTGTGGATCAAAATGATATAAACCAGCAATTTCCGATATCTGGGAAATTTCTATACACTCATTGTTTGCTAATCCAGCAGGAGTAAATATAGAAATTTGATTTAAAAAATGAAGTGTATCATAATTAAATCTTTCATTTAAATGTTTAATTATCATGTTGATTATTGGGTAAAAATTATCGTTTTTATATCTAAAAAATAAAATGTTATTTTTAAAATAAACTTTTCTTAACTTCTCCTTTTGTTGTTCAATATAATTATCAAACTCTGTTTGATCCAATTTGAACATTGACCTAAAATTATAGATATACGATATAATATTATTTTCATCCATAAAGGATTTAACATCATGGTGTAATTTGGAGAAAATATTATCACCATTAGCTTAATTACAAAATATAAGTTAAATATATGATAATAATTTACCTCTTAATCTTTGAAATTTATTTTTTGTATGTTGTATTAATTTACTTACCATAGCTAGATCATTTTCTATAGCCTGCAATTCAATGCAGGTTTCGTGTGTGCATTTTAAGATAATTTTCAAAATAAATAAGCTTAAAATAAAATCATATTTTTTTATTCTTGATAATAATCCCTCAGCAATTGAAGATGTGATTGGGTCATCAAAATTGCTTAGCTCATTCAATGAGACTATAATATATTCATAAACATTTAAAAAAGCTTTGAAAGACGAAGCCCAATTTCTGAAAATAAATAAATTTCTTAGAAAAATTATATTCATTTACCGTGTTGTATTTTTTATTCTTTTTAGAGATTTTTTGGACTTTTGCATCTGGAATTTCATAAAAACCCCTTGACGTTTAACTCCATTCATAAAATTATAGAGTTCGTCTAAAATTCCCATCGAGTTTTTAATTTCATTTCCATGAGCACATATACGAATAACAATTAAATTAAGTCTATGAGCATGACACCACACATAAATTGCTTTAGGAGCCTCTTTTAATATTAGAGCCTGTACTCCCTTATTAACACCTCTCATATTATTGACACCATCCATACTTTGACCAATGAGGTATTTTAGTGGAAGATGTAATGCTTTTAACTTAGACAAAACATTATTTTTAATATTTTCTCCGGTTGTATCAGAAGTTGTAAAAATATTAATAATTCTTTCCACTGGATGTGGATAATCTTGAATATACCTTATAATTAAGGCAACACATTCTTTTTTTGAAATATCATATGTGCCATCTAATATTAAGCTAAAGGCACAATTTGACATAATTTGCTTAATTATTTGATTCAATATTTTTATTTTCATTATCTCAGCTAATTTTTTTACATGGCCATAGGATATGAAGTTTATATGTGGTCTCAATATTTTATTGCCATTTATTCCCCGTGAAGTACTATTTTTCTCTAGATATGCCCTTAATACTGGGACATTTTTTGAGATCAAAGTTATAAGCCTTGAAAAATTACCATTATTAGAATTGCTTCCCCAAAAAGCAACATTGCCTCGTATTAAATATACAATAGCATCAATTATATTATGGATAATAAAACGATTTTGGGTTATAATTTCTTCTCGGTTGAATAAAAGATGGTCATCAATACGCTTCCGAGAAATCCATGCCATATGTGCATATTCACAATTTGCATGAACAGGGGATGCTTCATGTCTCTCCATATCCCGAATTAAATTATTCCAGCTATCAGCACCTTTTTGAGTCCATTGTATGCTTGCTTGATGATTTCCAAACATAATACAAAAGTTACAAAATACTTTATCTAAAATAGAGCTATAGGATAGCCATTTCCTTTGTGAAAATGATTTGTCATTATTGATTTTTTTATAATACATATCTTTCATGCTCCTACATATAAAAGCAATATATTAATATATATAATTGTTGAATAATTAATAATATATAGGGTAAAATATGATATTTAGTGCAAATTAAAATATTAATTATAAGATAATTATACTTTGTTATAAAAAGTCCTTATTCTAAAATATTCATAAAAGAATATTATGGAAATAAATTTTATTTATTATAATAATAAGTACAAAATTAAATAAATATAACTCAAACTACTTAATCCACTACTACTGGCAACAATATCATTAAATCAACCGGGCATGACTAAAATACGCGTCCCCGGTCAAAGAGGTTTAATTCATATAATATTAATTAAAAATCTTATTTAGCTACATAAAATAAGTTAAAAAATGTTTATT